TCCCTTCCCTTTATAACTCACTTATCCTCCGCCATTCCCAAGTCAAGGGTCGTATATACTGACCCAATAGCATATCTTGAAAACTAGAGCCAATCAACAATTTTAAGCATCATTTTCGTTCTCAGCGACCCAGAATTAGTAAAGTTTGGCTACATTTATTTCAGAAGCATTTTGGCTGTAGAGCAGTGTATTAACTATTTTTCACACACCCCTATGTGATGGGGAACTGAGGCACAGAAAATAAGGTCAAATGTGTGCACTAATTCTAGGTGTGCAACTTGGGATAGTTAGAGCTCTTAGCTCAATGTCCCATTCTCCTTGCCTAGCTTGTCCTAGTGCCCACACCTCCTCCATCCTGTCCCTAAACTGGTTCACAGTCTCAGCCTCCCCTCTTCTCCACCCAGTTCCCAGTTTTCTGACATAGTCAGTCCCTAGGGCCTACCTTCCCTTGTTCTGAGCCCCAGTCTTTCCTTCCCGCACCATGCTCTTTGTTCCAGTCTGCTCCTTCCTCTGTGTTTCACCACATTCCTTCTCCAAATTCGAGGTCAGGCTTTTGTGTCCTCTCTATTTGAGTCAGTTTCCTCCTTCACGTTGCCTGGGTGGCAGTAGGGAGAGTATTGAGAGCATAGAACAGAGTCTCCTCCTCTGTTCAGGTGCCCAGTTCCATAGCCACCAATAGCCGCCGAGAACAGCAATTGTAGGGAAAGTCCTGCTCAGCCCTGCGGTGGAACATGCTCGGTTCAGGCAAAAAAATGTAAAAAGAATTTAGCTGTCAATGCTAACAAGTCTCAACTGAGCATGTGCAAACTGCAGTTTTTCATGGGCTTATAACTTGGCAGGGTTGTTTTGTTTTGTTTTTTTCCCCAGCAGCAAAAAGCACATACTGACACACAGGCCACCCTGTGGCAAATTTCAAGTCCGTGTTACAAAGCCTGAAGGTGCGAAGTAAAATGTATTTTTCCTTACTCTCATTCCCAGAAGCTGCTGAATTCTTTTTGTTGAAATTTACCTAAATAAATAAAATCAACCTGAGGCATTTCAGCACAAATAGTTAATTTTGTAAACGTATAGGCAACTGAAAAATGTGTCTTAGTTGTCAGGCAACCATAAGTATGGCTGCAATTACCAGCTCTGTCTATAATAAAATAGGTGAATCACTAAACTTGTAATCACACAGCGAGTCATTGCGATGGTGAAGAAATATAAGACTACTTTATGTATTCACAGTAATCTGTCTCTTAAATAAAAACTTTGTTAGGCTAAAAACATTAAAAGGTATTTAGGTGTTGCTGCACTCAATGTTGCAACGCTCAACTGATTGAGGAGCCTAAATCTCATTTTTCAAAAGAGATTTAGGCACTTAGGTGCCCATTGGGATTTTGGCTCCTAAGTCCCTTTTGAAATTATAGTTGAGTATAGACAAATTACTTATTCTTCAGCAGTTTGTGTTGTTTCACTGAATTAAAAACCACTTATTTCCTTTAGGTCAATAATACTGAAGAAATCACCTTTGAAGCTTTGAAGAAAGCAATTGGTGAGATTTATTGCAATACTACATTTACACTTCTCCAGTACATGAAATATTTGCTAGAAAAAAGCTTTGCTAACATAGCATACTTAAAATACTATGTTAGTTTTTCATCATGTAGCAGGTTGATTTGAAACCACAAACCCCTTAAATGATCTTCAGCATTTCTTAGAGAACTCTTCTCTTTACCTATAGCTGGTGTGACTTACTGAAAAGCTGGTAAATGAATTCTTATTTTTAACGGTTTCTGGAACTTTCCCTTTACAGGTCAAGGCTTGAAAAACACTTAAGCAATTCACATATAGTTTTATCCTTAGTCTGTGTGAATTTCAGTTAAGAAAATATCTGTAAAGTACCTTTAATATAGTGACAAATGCTCAAGTCCTCAAAGGGAGTTCTCCGAGTATAGTGTGTGAAATTAGCATTATGGGATTCAGAGGAGTTCCGTTGTCAGATATATAATCCATTTATGATTAAAAAGGTGTTTTTCCAACTGCCAACTCGGCAAACTTAACCTAGAGTCTGAAAATGCAGCTGAGTTCTTCCTTCTAACCTTCACCACCAGTAATAAAGATTATGCAAGTCAAACTATGCCCATGCACATATCAAAGTGTAACTTGGAACATACTTACAAGACAACAGGGTGTTACTGAGGGTATAACTTGGTGTGCAAACTCTTTACTGCTGGTTATGATGCATGAAAATAAAGGAGTCCAAGTTGACTTTCTGGTCTCGGGTTAAATTTGTTAGGCTGACTATTTAAAAAAAAAATGAATAGTATATGGAGTCGATGGTCTTGTGTACACTTGAAAAACTGGGGATCGGTACTAATTCAAGTATATTGAAAAAAACAAGCTGCACAAAGTCTTAGCACCTGTTTTCAGCCTATTGCCCCCAAGTGTAAGGGCAAGAAGATAGCAAAAGATGGATAACGGATTGCATAGTTTAATACTATAAACCCAAGAACATGGCCACTGGATGAAGTTTGGACCACATTCCACTGCATCTGTGGTGACCTCCTGAGCTCAGACAATAACTTACTGGGCAAATCCTGCAGTCCCTATTCAGGCAAATGGGCTGAGTGGGAACTGAGTTGGAACCACAGGATATGATGATGTTAACTTTTTTACACTGATTCTCAAGTGCGTGTTCCATTATTACAGGGAATTTGACTAACTAGAACTGTATTCAATAAGTCTGCCTAAGCTGTGACTACTTTTTACTATTCGTTTAAAATATTCTAATCTTATGTCTTTGTTTTAAGTAGTAGTAATAAAAAGTGAAGACACACAAACCTCTAAGTGTATTGTCATTTCACTTATTGTAGGAAGTCTATATAAGCATAAATTAGAACTGTCTTCATTTTTTAAAAGATAATACTGGACTTGAAGAGCAGGAGAAAGAAAAGCGGCGTCTTGTGATTGAAAAGTTCCAAAAAGCACCTTTTGAAGAAATTGCAGCACAGTGTGAAACAAAAGTGAGTACTGGGTACATTTTATATTGTTTCAAAGGCTTTCGTACAAGTGGTGATGGAGACACGAGGATAAAGGGTGGTTTATGATAGTGTTTACTGTTAAAAGAAAACAATTGTTGCCTTTTTGCCTTCATCTGTGCTCTGAATTTTTAATCTGTGTAGGAAATCAAAATTACTTGTACCCTGAGTGGTTGGGTCCCCTACATCTCACAGAGCTATTATTATTACTATTTATTATTTGTATTGTTTTAGTGACTAGGGACCCTAGTTATAGACCAGGACCTACAACCACCGTAGCAATTAAATCAGCTGTTGGTATCCACACTGCCCTCCTTCGGCCGATGGTGCACGTCCTCACCAAGAGTACATGCACCCACTGAAGTGGGGCATTGTGTGGGCACTGACAGCCTCATGGAGCTCACAGATGGAGCTCCTTGCCCCAGGGCTGACAGCCCTAGCTGTGAGCTGTGCAGGGCTCAGTTTCACAGCAGGAAGCCTACCAGCAGACTGACATTCTTGTCAGTTTTTTGGCTGCTATGATTTCATATTTCCTCTCCGGCTCCGCCTGTCAGCCTCGCATGAGGCTTGCAGCTGGAGCCTCCGGCCCCAAGGATGACAGCTGGAGCTGGAGATGAAATGTGAAATAATAGCAGCTGTGAAACTGACAAGACTGTCAATTTCAGTGCTAGTAGGCTCTCTGCTGCAAAATTAAGCCCTACACCAGGCTGACAGCTCTGGCTGTCAGCCCCGGGGCAGATTGGGCGGGGAGGGGTTGGGTGACAGCTTAAGCTCTCAGCACTGGGGTCGGGGACTCTAGCTGTCAGCCCTATGGGGCTGTCAGTGCCCCACACTCCAGCTATATCAACCTAAGCACTACGCCTCTCGCAGAGGTGGAGTTAAGTCAATATAGTGGGTGACTTGCATAGAGTGGAGCACCATTGTAGTGTAGACACTGGCAGAGTTAGGGTGACGTAAGCTGCCTTACGTCAACCTAACTCTAGTGTAGACCAGACCTTTGTCCTCCACCCCCCACATACTACACACACTTTTACCTTTGCTGCCTTTGAGACTGGGTTCAGAGCCATGATTATTTCACTCTGGAATTATAAGTAAATGCAACTTTTGGATCACGCCAACATGCTTTAACTCACTGGAAGGGTAATCCCCCCCCCCCGCCCCCCTTCTCATCTTTTAAGAAATAAAAATCTACTTCAGTTTTGTTACTAAACTCCCAGTTGCTATTCTTTTGCCTTCACACAACTGAGTCCTTGCTGCAACAGGGAAGCAAAACTCTGAAATTCAGAGTATATTCCACTAAACCAATCCAGGCTTCTTATTCATAGTCATTCTGTGTACAGTGGTTTTACAGGATATCATTAAAATATTTAATTTTTTTCTCTTTGTAGGCAAACTTTCTTCATGATAGACTTGCACAGATATTGGAGCTCACCATTCGGTAAGGTTTTATGCACAAAAGGGAATTAATTAAAAGTAGGGGTAGTTGTCAGAAAATTCTGTGTTACTTTAAGATGCTAGTGTCTTTATTTATTTATATATACTTTATTGAAATAGCCTCATTTACAAAGCATTTGATTTTATTGTTACTGTTCTGATTTTTTTTTTAAGAGGAAAATATCCTGAGTCAAGATTAGCCAAATAGCCCATCAAATATTTTCTGTTTTAAAATGGTCAACCCCTGTTTTCTATCCAAACCATATAATTAAAGGTATTGTTGTTAAGGATAAAACTTGTTTTTTTCCATTAAAATTATTGAAGGTCTTCCATGAGGATTGTATCCATTAATTAGGGTTTAATTGGGTCCCTACGGAAGTTCCACTTATATAACTGTGGACAGAATTGGGCGTAAGTTTGAAAAATATTTGCTAAAAGATGTGAATATATATATATTGGTAACACAGCGCTGGAGTATTTTTATATTTGTATTTTATATATATATTTGTCATGCTTACAAAAATGTTGAATTTTCCCTTTATTGCATGTGCTCTGGGAATTAGCTAGCAATCTCTGTATTGTGAAGTGCCATGTACATCTATTCTGCATTTGAAGTAATATTGTATATCAAAAGCCCCATCTTGATAGTTATGTTGACATCAACGAAACTGGTGATTCAGGCAAAAATCAGCCATTATAATTTGGCTTCATTAGAAATGTAGGAAAAGGATACAGTAAGGCTGGAAAGAAATTTAATATCAAATTTCCAAGCAGGTACTCTATGAAGTTAAAAGTTAATAACAGATTACATAAGTATATTTTTATGAAAGCTTAAATTGTGTGGCTTTGTTTTCTCGTTCCTTCTTTACAGTCCTCCTCCTAGCCCCTCGGGAACGATGACCATTACTGCTGGACATGCTCATTACCAATCCGTTCCAGTCTATGAGATGAAGTTTCCAGATCTTTGTGTGTATTAAGTGTCTTCTGAAGTCTGCAGGACATTATTTAGAGTAGAGTACAATAAACAGACCAAGATGAGTTTTCAAGTTCTTTGTTAATTTAGATTAAGTAAATAGTTTTTTAGAAAAAATGGTGGACCTACAGCACATAGGAATGATTTTTAACCAAACTTTAAGTTTTTTTTTAAAACTATTCTCTAATATTTGACATTAGGTTTGTTATGTTACCTTATTATTTCACTTAGTCATTTTTCATATTTTGGTAGGTTTAAAAGTCAGAAGTAAATATTTCCTCTTCTTTTGCCAGCGTGTGCTAGTGTTTCAGAGACCAAAAAAATGAGTTTACAGAAATATAATTTCCTAGAATTGGGGGCTATATCTGCAATGCCTGGTGGCTTCCTTCCACCTGGGTTTCCAGATTTGGGTAGAGTGCTTTTGGCGTGCTTACTGTTACCACATGTATCAGTGGAGCGATATCTTAGCTCCCTATACTGTTGCTGTCTAGTAACTATTTATTCCATTATTTTGAAATACATTTAAATAGGCAACCTTTTACCTGTTCAGTTTCACTAATAAATATGACTGGTCAGACAATTGTTAAATATTGTTCCTGGTGAATGATTAACATAATGTGCTTTTTAGAAATCCAGCACATGTGCTGTTTCCTGCCGAAAGTTGCAATGTTCTGCTTGAGAGATGTAAATCCCTCCTCTTGGACCTCTGACTTGTGCAATATTTTTCATGTCTTGTGTGTATAGTTTACAGACTATGCTTTTGAAAATGCAGTAGTATTTTGCTGTCTGAATTACAACAAATAAATATATATTTAGTATAGCAACAAACTGAGGGCATTTTAAATGGATAAGTACTTTAAATACTAGTTCATTTGTAAAATTATAAGCACAGAAGATAAGATTATATGAAATGTTGGTCTGTGTAGTTTAGTAAAATAGGTTTTTAATGATATTTTGCAAATTGAAAGAAAACTGTGGATGAATCATCTTGAAAGTTATACATTTAGATGTGTTTTCAAACAAAAGCATTTTGCAATTATATCTGTATACATTTTTGTTGCATTTGACAAGTCTTCCTGTGATTATTGAAAACTGATGTGCTAACTTTCATAGGTTTAGATACCTGAGTATAAATTTAAATAGATACAAAGAACCTAACTTTTTGTTAGCTCGGTACATAAAACTGTACTGTACAGTAAGTTGCTTGGCCCGTGATGGTAATTGACAATGTTGTCTTCCTGACCCATTGCGAAATTCTGTGCATAAAAATGAAAAGTTCTAATAGTCCAGTGCTCTGAGCGAGCAGTGAGCTTTGTAGTCTAGGTCTAGCTGGATTTTCTGAAGCAACTAATGTAATCAACTTACATTCTCAATACTTAAATATATGTTTTTAAATTTAGTAAATCTTTGAATGGGTCAGGGCTGAGATGAATAGTGTAATAAACTAATAACTCTTGTTATACATTTATTAGGAAGCTAGTCAATATGTTAACTGTCCTTGGCAATTTCCACACTTGCTGCAAAATGTAGGGCTTCTGGATTTTTAAACTTAAGTACAATGTTCCTTTAAACTATCTTTAAAGGAGTGAAATAGCACATTTCCAGAGAAATTTCAGCTATTTAGACCTATGAGATGACACATCAAGACTTTCAGGAAGCATTCACAAAACTCAGAAAGGTAATTGAGACCTTTTTTTCAGTTTGACAGTGCAATCACAGCTGTTAGTGGATGACGAAACAACCTCTTACCTACAGCATTCCGTTGTGATTGTTACTGCTGCAACGTATCATCCTGATCAGACCAGAGTCAACAGCATTAGTAGAACTCGTTGTCACCTTAGTTTTTAGTTTTCACTTTTTGTTTTTTAAGGTAAGATATTAGATTTTGACCTATATAAACAGAGTGTATTTTTTTTAATTAGATGTAAGCTAGGGACGCAATGTAAAACAATCATCCACACTGATGTGATTTTTATAAAGTAACACTGTGCACATTTGTACAAAAAAGAAATAGAATTAAAGAGTCTAAAGAATAAGAAACAAAGAATGTACTTTCATTTGCACTCTTGTAGTACGCAGACTGTGGTGTATATACAGAATTTTCTCAGATTAACTAAATTCTGTTGCATGTATACTGCATGTGAAAAATTATATTCAGCATTTCATGTACCATTCATTTGAAGTCTGTTGACGAAGAATTTTTTTCATTTAATCACAAGATAGGTTCCCACATGTCCTAAATTCAGACTAGTCTTGTTCAGGATGTGCAGACGTTAAGGCACTAAAGATCTGTAATCTTTTGGGATTTTGCCTGATATATAATTTCTTTCCTGCTGAAAACGCAGAGAGTCTGCAAATTGAGTACCGTGGCCACTTTGAACAGATGAGAATTGAGGATTTGTGGAAATCTGCTGCATAATATGTTGTACTCATAGTTTACTGTAAGTAATACATTGTAGGTATTTTGAAATCAAATTGTTCAGAATGCTGTTTTTATGTATACAGTTGCTTTGAATCCCTTATTTCTTTCTGGTCTTGAAAAGAGTTGCAGAGCTTAGAATACAAAGTGTGCATACTGGGCTTGTAGTGTCTGTGACAGTTTGAATACTGTTTGAATGTTTATCACTTCATGTCCAGTTGACATTTGTATGTATTCCAGCTTGTGCTTTAAATTCTTTTAAATGTAATGTCACTTTGAGTAATTATGGTTTTTGATAGCAGTTCATTTTAAGGTAAATTAAAATTATGTTAATTCAGAAGAAACAACATGAGCCTGTTCAGAGTAAGGCTAATTTGTCTGTTTTATTGATGCCCATACATTCTGTACGGTTAGTGTTGAACCACTTTCATGAAATGTAAGAATACACTGTGCAGTGTACATTTCAGCAATAAAATAAACCAAAACGTTAAAATAGCGGAGTTTGTTACAAATTAATTTTAACAGTTACAATATTAACTACTGTATGATACTTGAGGTTAAGAAATCAGTGCTGTCCTAAATATAGTACTTGCTTATTGTTGAGAAGCAAAACAAAATTTCACTTAATACAGACAGTTATTTTGCAAACCCAAAACATTTCACTTCTTCATAAAGTTGGGATTTGTTGGAAAAGTTCAACAAAATATTAGGCAGCAGCAAAACTTAAATTGTATTCCTCAGGGCATATCAGAATGACCATACTGGGTCAGACCAACTGTCCATCTAGCCCAGTATCCTGTGCTCTGACAGTGGCTAGTGCAAGATGTTTCAGAGGGAATGAACAAAACAGGGCAATTTCAAGAGATCCATCCCCTGTCATCCAGTCCTAGCTTCTGGCACTTGGAGGTTTAGGGACACCCAGAGCATGTGTTATCCAGGGTTTTCAGAACCCACAGCAGGGTCAACTTAACTATTTCACTTCAGGCAGTGTCAGGAATAAATCAGTAGGAACACCGCAATTCTGTCCGATCAAAGATTAAATGCAAGTAAGCATGCTCTTATTTAACACTGCAGTTTATTAGATTTAAGCACACAGAGTCATAAGCAATAAGTTTAGAACATCCCACATATTTACCTAACATCTGGAACGGTTTTGCGGAACGTCCCATGTAGATTGGATTTTTCTTTAAGGCTCTGGGTAGCCTCTTAAGGCATATAAGCTTTTTTTCCCATCTCAAACCAGGCACGTGTATACAGAGTTACTGGAGGGGAACCACTTTACGTATGACACATTTGGAATGCTATTTACTATAGATACCATTAGTAGTTCTGCAATTTCATATTTATACTACAAGCAAAAGATGCTAACATGTCTCTCTGTCATGGTTAAGGGCATCCATGTATCTAACTCATTCTTATAGTCATTTTAGGGAATAATGTAGCTTTGGCTGATAGCCACACATAGGAAACTATCCACACTACAGTATGATTTTGCCAGCAGCTAGAGGTATGGTCAACTTTTAGTTACAGGTTAATATGTTGGAGGTTTTGTCCAAACAGCTTTTCTACCATCACAGCCTATTTGCCCCCCCTCATCCCTGACCTAGCATTCTTTTAACTTTTTTAGGGGTACGTTCTGGATAGCCTAAGCACTATGGCAGGGGTAGGCAACCTATGGCACGTGTGCCAAAGGCAGCACGCAAGCTGATTTTCAGTGGCACTCACTGCGTGGGTCCTGACCACTGGTCTGGGGGGCTCTGCATTTTAATCATAGAATATCAGGGTTGGAAGGGGCTCAAAGCAGGACCAATCCCCAGACAGATTTTTGCCCCAAATCCTTAACTGGCCCCCTCAAGGATTGAACTCACAACCCTGGGTTTAGCAGGCCAGTGCTCAAACCACTGAGCTATCCCTCCCCCTCTTCTTCTTAAAATGCTTCTTAAACGTTTTAAAAACCTTATTTACTTTACATACAACAATAGTTTAGTTATATATTATAGAAAGAGACCTTCTAAAACATTAACATTATTACTGGCACGCAAAACCTTAAATTAGAGTGAATAAATGAAGACTCGGCACACCACTTCTGAAAGGTTGCCAACCCCTGCACTATGGTATCTATAAGAACCATCCTCTGCACCCCCTCTTTATGCCTAGGATTTCTTTCACAAATCCCATAATCCTCTGTCTCAAATCATAGTGTCCATTTTGCATCATGGAGCCCTTACTGGCCCTCCAGATTGTAGTGATTACTAGCTTATGGATGTTGGTGGGACAGCCCAGAAGCAATGCAGGGCAGACAGGGTTAGCTACATTCTGAGTGAGGTGGTATGTGTAAACAAGGTGAAGACAAATGAAAGGCTTCTGTCCATTTATAATGTCAAATTGAACAATGAGGGCAAATTCTGGGCCAGGTCAAGCTCTGCCCGCTGGCAGGACAATGTCATGGCTGTCTGGACCATCTGTGTTTGGCCGGGGGGGGGGGCTGTCTCTACACTAAGGAGGATCTGACATAGCTGTCACCCTGTAGTGTACACCCAGCCTAGCCCACAGAAAGGGATTTCTCCATCAATGTAGGAATATCACTTTCCTAAACAAAAGTAGCGGTCACGGAAGCATTCTTCCAACAACATGGCTGCCTCTACACAGGAGGGTTAGCTGTATTGTTTTTTTCACATCCTGGACTACTGTAGTTATGTCAACCTAACTTTTAAATATAGACTATCCCTGCATGAACAAGCAGCAGCCAGAACAAATCCAACCCTATGACAGCAACTTCATTCTGGGTAGTAGAGTAGCCCTAGCAGTTTAGAGACTATCCAAGAACAGGACTGTTGCGGCCTGGGCGTACACCAACACAGGAAAATCTACATTTGAGGATCACAGTACTGCAAATGTGCTTTGAAATAAAGCTAGTCCTACAGATTTTTTTTATCAAGATTACCATATTCCTGACATGCCAGAGGACTTTGAATGTAGTTTGGGTTCCCAGACTCCGCTGGGCCTGTTGATTGAACTCGTTTCCAAAGTCTATGCCACTGATTAGGCCACAGGCAAAAATAAGTGTGCCTAAATGGTTACAGCAACCAGATCACATGCCAGACTAATTATCTAGCAGAGGCAGTAAGCAGTCATTAGCTCTTAATTACTTTGGAGCCTTTCATGGACCAGGACCCCCTTGTGCTAAGTGCATTAACACTGCCTACTGTGGGGACACACTGTGCTTTTAGCCAGCCATACCCCTTACCAGTTACAAGTAGAGTAAAAAGCTACTGTGTGGTTTGGACCTAAATAGAAATGCCTTTCACAGATTTCTGCTTCATTTAATAGATTCTGTTCGCTGAACTCCAACGATGATTCAATACAGTTGATGCTCAGTTAAGATTTCATTTTATAGGCATTGATCCTGCAAGCGCTTATACATGTGCTTAACGTTACACACTGAATAATCTCAATGACTTCAGTGGGCCTACTCAGTAAATTTAAGCAGGTGAGTAAATTCTTTTCAGGATTGGAGACATAATTTGTACAGGTTTAGATATAAGTAGTAATGTTAACTGACTTTGTGTCTGTTAAATACTTCATGAAATATCAGAGGTGGGGAATATGTCCGCAGAAAGTATTCGTGACTTTACTAACTGTCATGGTAAAATAGCAACACGCTTATAATATAGTCTGTCTAACATAAGATCGGTAAGGATCATTTGAGTGGAGCAGTCTATGAAGGTAAATAAAGCTGATGGAGGCATTATTGGCATGTAACTTTCTCTGAATGAACATAATGTGTTCACTATGAGCTGGAGAGTTCTGCATCTAATATTAAATCCTAACAGTTACCAAAAAGGACTTTCTTTGAAACGTTAGTTTTATCTGAGGGTTTCAGAGCAGCAGCATCAATCCATATTAGAGGAATTAGCTTGTGCTCATTTGAATTTGCTAATTGTCAGTTTCATTTCTTTCAAAGGCCAGTTTTTCCTTTCAGCTAATTAGCGGACTGACCTTTTTGTTATTGCTTTTTATTTATAAATGATGTGGGGTAGAAAACAAATTGCAGTCATTCTGCCAAAATGGCTGTTAAGATAACTTCTAAAAGCCCAGTATCAGGGGGTAGCCGTGTTAGTCTGTATCTACAAAAACAACAAGGAGTCTGGTGGCACCTTAAAGACTAAGCTTATGCCCAAATAAATCTGTTAGTCTTTAAGGTGCCACCAGACTTCTTGTTGTTTTTCTAAAAGTCCAGTTCTGAAATTAGTATGAATGCCTATTGTTTAGAATCAAAGCTCATCTCAGAGTCAGATGAAAAGAACGGGCAGTGACATTTTTTAGATTAATCCTGGTTTTTTGCTGAAGTGGATATTTAAATGGTCATTGGACCCAGCATCTTGAAGGAATGTGTGAGGTTCGTTTGGTTTTGTCTGTGGATGTAATTTCTCAAGTCCCTTCGCCAAATCCCTTCGCCAACCCTCCACTTTGCCAACCTTTATACCTTTTGTGATTAAATGTTAGTGCGGGTTTGTAGGCTTAGACCTTTCTATCAGTTTTCTTCACCAATCTTGTATTTTAAAAGGAGGTGTATATACCTCACTTGATAATGAAGGAAGTGATTCCTTCCACTAAAGGGAGGATTCACAACCACATACTATCCCTCCCTTCAGTTTTTCATGTTGCTATTCCTTTGTGGGCTTTTCCTAAAAGTCCTGGGGGGAAATCTGGGTCCCATAGAATTCAATGGAAAAACTCCCATTAACATCTATGAGGTCAGGATTTTCACTCCTTTTGTGTGGGACATTTCCCTAAACATTTGCTAGCTGCTTTCTTAATTATGAACTGTGATGGTAACTTGTACCTCCAGCAAACCCACAGTAATCCTCTGCTCTGTCACTGAAGCAAGCTCACTCTCTACTGGTTTTGCTCCATGTTGCAAACCATTACCATAGAAATGCAGGACTGGAAGGGACCTTGTGAGGTCATCTAGTCCAGCCCCCAACACTGAGGCATTTTTTCACAGTGGTCTAATCTTGTACTGCTCTTTTAAAAAGACAGTAAGGATCATATATACCTCAGTTTTGTGATACTTAGTTATCAAAGAACATTCAGATGCAGCATTGGATTTTAAGGGAATTTTGCATATTTACCTAACGTTCTCACAATACTGACTAAGGCAAAAAGGCCAAATGACATGGGCAAAGTCAAACAACTTCATGATGTGGAAGAACCTACGCAGGCCTTCTGCTTCCAGAGCCTTTGCTCTGATTGTTGGACCACACAACTTCCTTGCACTCAACACAGAGCAAAGTTCTTATGACTAAATTGCAGACCCTTAAAACAGGAATCTAGAAAGGAAATATTGAAACAATGTCAGAAAAATCACTATAATAAGGCTAAGATGTCGCAATGATAAGTTAGTAACAAGTGTCTTTATTGTAAAAAATGTTAGTGGAAATTCTTCATTCGTTTCAAGAGGAGCCTCAAAAGGGGTGACATTTGAAAACATTTTGGTTTTATTACATTGTCAACTGTTTACTTCAAGTTAATTTTCTGTTTGAAGATCCATTTCACACATTTACAGTAAAATCAAATCAACAGTTGTAGTAAAGATTGTCAGTAATTTTATAGATCTATTTAAGTTAAAGCATAATATGACAGCAGCACCAGAAATCTTCCGCAAATACTAAAAATGAAATATTTACTCTACTATATGGGATGAGATTATATTCAATATTTTAGGTCATAAATCAGAAAGTGTGAGACTGTTTTCATTTAACTTCCAAACTAAAAACTTGCTTAGATTTTTTTGGATGATGAAGAAAATATCCCAGGCAACCTGTCTTCTGTTTTCATACACAATTCAAAGTCAGGAATTTAAAAAAAATCACTTTCATGCAAACTGGTTAAATGTGCATTTAGCCGCCAGGGAGAATTTCTTGTTCACAACTCCATGTCTACCGTGAGTTTTAGGAGACTAAGAATTGCAAAGCACGGAATGGACTGGAGAGAACGGCCTGTTCTGTTCAAGACCCTGACCTTTTGAAATATACACACGTCCCTACTCATTCTGAAACATCTGACTTGTCCCATTGCCTGACATTTTATGGTCTGTGCTATGCAGGAGGTTAGAGGAGATGATTGTGGTCCCTTCTGGGTTTAAAATCTATTGATCCCATTGCACTGTTGGTTCTAGTCAGAACTGAGATAAAGCAAAATGAGATTAAAATTGGTGCCAGAACATATGGCATCATCCAAAGCAATGAAGCTGCTGTTGATTTAACTCCCAGTGAGATTTGATTTTTAGGCCCACTTGGTTACAACATGCAAAGTAGATAATTTGCTCCCTAGTATTAACATTTAACTGGTCACATCAAAGCTTTGAAATTAACACCTCATTGCATGTCCTTCATTGCTTTGCTGCTGTCTAAGTAGCGATAGCCTTATCTATATAAATCAGTGTTGTCCTATTAAGCAAGTCTTCCAGAAAACTCTGCAATGCAAAGGGCTGGAACCATCCATCATCATCATCAATCTTAGCTGCTGCACAAAGCAGCAAAAAGTGCAGAGTACTCTAGATTTACTAGAGGTCCCAGTTCAATTTTCCAGTGATTCTGGGAATAAGGATTTTTAATTTTCTCTCACTCCCTCCTCAAAGGTCTCATTACAGCTCGCAATGGTGTGTTTTGGTTTGTTTTCTAAAAGGAGGACAGGGGACAGGAAAGAGGCTGATTTGCTGCTGTAGTTTAACAGTGTATCTCCACTGACTCCATGCAGATGGCATAATGGGAGCGACAGTGGGCCGTAGGAAGGAAAAATGAAGTTTAATTTGAGAAATCTATTACATTAGTCCTGTTGGTATCATGCCATGTTCCTGGAAGCTGAAGATGTTTCTCCAAAGAACAGTCACAGCATGGCCAGTAGAGATGCAGGCTTCCCCACGTCATTTGGCCCATGTGCGCTGGTTCTCATCGGAAGATGCCACTATGCTCCCTTCTACATAATACACAAAAAGGGAAATTGGAGACCTGTAAAACTCTGCAGCATGTTACAGTTGCCCATTGACTTGCAGAGCCAGTAAGAGGTGGGGCAAGAAAATAATTCAGAGAATGGGGATGAACAGGAAACTAAGGCCCCAGCTGGCCAAAAATGTAATCGGAAGGGGCTCCATGTTGTTGAAGGCAGAACATGTGCTCTGTGACACCTTGAAGCCTAGGTGGGTGACCTCTTAGGAGGTACTGCAGACATCTGCACATATTACACAATTCTTGGAGACATGTGTCTTGACAGATGTTCCTCCTCTCCTCCCACCACGTCCCTGAATATTCAAGAAGGATATCGACCAGAATGTTTTACCATAGTTACGTAACTAGTATAGTAAGCTATAAGATGCTATTTTAATATCATGGAGGAGTTCTGTATTAACTACATATAGTGGCATGTAATGTGAAAATGTATCAAATTCTAATTCCAACCCTTCAATTGTGTTTGTTTTTTTTTCAGCGAGAGACATCTCCTTTCCAATACAAAACAAAATAAATTGTAACCAACTGCCAGAGGTGTTAGCGAAAATCAGTCACCTGGCAGAGGGGTCTTTACATAAAAGCTGAACGAAACTATACTGGATACTTTCAAACAATCATGTAAGACAGGTGGAAATGGTCCTTAGCGCAGGTTTTCCTGTAGAACAGAGTTCTATATCCTAACATATATAACCCCTTACCTAGTCTGTGTAATTCAATCTGGGGTCTGCAAGAAAATGTAAAAGAGAATTTACAAAGATAAGATAAAATAGGACACACAGTGGTTGACTCTGGAGCCCTCCATGCCATTTCCCAGTTGGATATAGAGACTTGGCTATCTCTCTTGTGGTGTGGCTCTGGCTTTTCCCCGGGGGTGTCGTGCAGCTCTCTTTATTCTTCTTAAAGCACTCCTCCACGGACCTGCCTCCTCACTGCTCTCCTCCGAGCTGGAGGTCCTGGTGCCTATTCCAGTGTCACCTGCAGGCCTCTCAGCTATTCCACTGCGACATGAGGCTTTGTTCTCTTGGCAGGCTTGCCGGGTTAGGAACCTCAAGCTTTCATTGAAAGAGGCAGCAGCCATACACTCAGCCGCTGTCTTATCACAGGTACACAGGAGCTTCTCGCACATGCTCCAGCCAATGCCTTAAAAAGGAGGTTTTAAAGATGAAAATGGCTGAAAGCAAATTGTAATTGGTGTAAGCAGTTTTTATAATATGTAGTCAGCTACACCACTTATAGTAAAGCCTGTCGCTACAGTTTTCAAACTCAGGCTGCTAAATCCATAGTGAGGCATCTAAATATATGGTAAGTAATCTGATTTTTTTCAGAGATGCTGAGCAACGGCAGCTGCCATTGACTTCGGCGGGACTTGTAGATGTGAGCACTCTGAAACTGACCAGTTTACATTCAGGTGCCCACCTACTGATAGAAGCCAGCCATACCCTGAGATCCACCAGTGCTCTGTGGACAACAAGGTTTTGCTTAACTAGGAAAAGTGCTCAGGTTTAGGTCAAGCTTAGCTAGCGCATTCTAGCTAAGCCTGATCCAAACCTGATCACTTTTTTCCCTACTCAAGGCCAATTCCAAATGGCTTACAGAGCACTGTTAATATAACACATTTTTTTCCAGTTTCTAACTTCTGTGATTCTGTTCTAGTTGTGTGCTTCTACACTGATCTCAATTTTGCTCAAAGGGAATGTCATACATTTAATCATCTGACCAAACTTACACTTCGGTTTATGATCTAAACATACAACTTCAGATCTCAAACTTCCCTCTGGCTGGCACCCAAGTTTTTTAACTTGTTCCATACAGCATTGATGGGAGAAACAGCACCTAAAACAAAGAACAAACGTTTACCTTTCTTAATAGTAACTCATCTCCCTGGAGCACACAGTATTTGCAGTTATTTTGGCTATTTGTTTTCATTGCATCTTGAAACTGGGAAAACATTTGTTTTAACCTTTAATAAAAAACTTTTTTTTATCCAAACAAGTTGTTAAATAAAGCTTTTCATTATCTTACTATTACAGCCTTTCTACTTCTCATTCATTCAGAGTCCCTTGCTTTTGTCTTTATTCAACTGTGAGCTTACTTGTCTGATGTAATAAATTACATAAGTAATCCTATATAAAATCATGAGTGATGTGGAGAAAGTGAATAAGGAAAAGTTATTTACTTGTTCCCATAATATAAGAACTAGGGGCCACCAAATGAAATTAATAGGCAGCAGGTTTAAAACAAATAAAAGGAAGTTCTTCACACAGCGCACAGTCAACCTGTGGAATTCCTTGCCTGAGGAGGTTGTGAAGGCTAGGACTATTACAGGATTTAAAAGAGAACTAGATAAATTCATGGAGGCTAAGTCCATTGATGGCTATTAGCCAGGATGGGTAAGGAATGGTGTCCCTAGCCTCTGTTTGTCAGAGGATGGAGATGAATGGCAGGAGAGAGATCACTTGATCATTACCTGTTAGGTTCACTCCCTCTGGGGCACCTGGCATTGGCCACTGGCGGTAGACAGAATACTGGGCTGGATGGACCTTTGGTCTGACCCAGTATGGCTGTTCTTATGTTTTCAAAAACTGGGCATCTGTCTCTCATATATTCCCTAAGACTTTAGTTGACTGACAACTTGGAAACTGCCAGTATCGTGAGGGCTAAATCCTTCCATGCAATAAGTCATATAAGTTAGGACTGGAGAAGACCTATAGTCAGAGAGTCTGTTCTCCTGCTAGTTTCTTATGATATATATTCTAGTAGTCAAACTTGAGATGGCTCAGGTGCTAAGGACTTCCATCACTTCCCCTAGGGAGACTCTTTGACATGCTACTGGAACTCACCCTGAAAGAGATTTCCCTTTTCTTAGAGTTAGTGTGAATTTTATCTAATTTTATCTCATTCTTAGATGTATCCACCAGTAAACGCAAAACTCTGCATTGACATCAGTGGGGTCAGGATTTCACGCTGGGTGTTTACATCCTTCAAAAGGATAGTGCAGCATAGATCTATATTAACAGGCTAGCTTGTCTATCTGCAAGTTACTACTATTCAACCCATCCATTCCTTGAGTATGCTTTACCGAAGCCTCACTCCACACCTGCTCCTCATACCTTCTTCCCCTCCCTCTCCTCACCTATGGTGCCCTCCTTGCCCCTCCTAATCACTCCACCCCTCAAATCTGAGACGTTAACATGACATTTGTCACCATCCCATTGATTGCTATGCTTGAACAGTCTAGCCCAGCGGTTCTCAAACGTCACTGCATCGTGACCCCCGTCTGATAACAAAAATTAGGACATGACCCCAGGAGTGGGGGACTGAAGCTTCAGCCCTCCTGAGCTCTGCCACCCCAGGCAGGGAGCCAAAGCCCACGGGCTTCAGCCCTAGGCAGGGGGCCTATAACCTGAACCCCACTGCCCAGGGTGGAAGCCCTCGGGTTTTGGCTTTGGTCCCGATCTGTGGGGCTCAGCAAGTCTAACACCAGCCCCGATGACCCCATTAAAACAGGGTCACAACCTATTTTGGGGTCATGACCCACAGTTTGAGAACCTCTGGTCTAGCCTTTTCCCTACCAGTTCTGTCTTATCTATTTAGATAAGCTCTTCGGGGCAGGGCCTAGCACAGTGGGGTCCTGATCTTGGCTGGGCGCTAGGCACCATTGTAATAAACATGATTAACAGCAGACAGTGCTAACTAGCAGGTTGTTGAAGAGCCAGCACCTGTCCAGTACATCTGTAGGATAACCTCTTCCTTCTTGGCCACAGTAGCAGCCATAAGATTCAAAATCCTGTGGGCATCGATCAGTCAAGCAAAACAGCATTTCTCCTAGCTGAGGCAGCTCCCGCTTCACCTTTCCGTTCCCTCTCATTTGCAGAAAGGTGAATCTGTCACAGACTGTAAAGAGAGACATTTTGTTTATTAAGTAACATGCAGAGTTTGACACTGGACATTCTTCTGGGCAGAGACCATGTCTTCTCTTTGTTTGGAATGGTCAGAGCTACCACAACTACTCTCTCTCTCTCTCTCTCTCTCTCAAATTCTTACTCGTTTTACATAGTTTCTGCTTTCCATAATCCATGTCTCTCCTCAGAACCTTATTGAACGTCTCTCTAAATACACAGGGCCCTCTGGAATGGGTCTGAATTTACCAGCTGATTTTCATAAAACTGGTGAGTGACTTACAGCTTGTATGTATTTCCACATACCACATGCTTCACAGGATATTCAGCAGAATTTTATGCAAGACTGTAAGCCTCTTCAGGCAGGGATCAGCTTTTTGGTCTGTGTTTGTACAGGACAAGCACAGGTATGACTAGGACCCCCAAGTCACTCTGGTAATACAAATAAATAATTATACAACGTTACAGTCTTTCTGCTATGTGTGTTCAGTGCCTAGCATCGCATGATGATCAGGACCTCTAGGCACTACCATAACAAAAATAACAGCTGTAGTAGCACACTGTTAAAGGAGGTCAAATGTTTCAATCAAATTAGACTCATGGGACTACCACTGTAGTTTTAGATGACTTGAAAAATCCTACATCTGCCTTTTCATGAGGATTAGATTTTCCTTCATTTACTTAGTTATTTTATTTTGTGTATTCTTAAAGACCATCCCAATATTTCTATCCTTGAACCAAAACCATGACCATCTTGAAACCTAGCTGAAGTAACTCCCAAACTTTGGTTACTCCCCTATTATCTCCATGTAATTGTTTTAAAACTGACTGTTCTACATTGAGCACAAATTGCCTTTGCTTAGAATAGAGTCTAATGACTATTTCTTTGTGGAGAAGGAAAAGGCAGATGAAATGAGATCTCCCGTACAAAGGCACTGGCGAGTAATTAAATGTTGTTAAACCAGCTGGGCATAATTAAGAAAAGAGAGGCAGAGAATAGTCAAAATGGGAACACAGACTTTCATGAAGGGGAAGCTATTTTGCTCTGCAAGTTTAAGATGCAAATTAAAAGGGGTTGTGATATTAATGTTTTGCACTTAGACCCAATTTAACCTGAAACATTACCTTTCTCCCAAGGTTCTCAAAGCCATTTTAAGATGGTCGGAAATAATGCAATGCACTCATTCAGAAAATGAAGCGATTAAAATCCAGAGCTCACTCAGAGGAAAGAATTAGGAGCAAGACAATGGCTAGGTTGTGTCTGAAGGAAGGAACAATAGGGGCTAGGGTCCTGCTGCGGGACTGGGAGTCCCGCAGGACTCGCTGACGTAACAGTGGGAGCAGGATAAAAATTCACCAAACAATGCGGGAGTGGGTGGGAGCAGGACAGGAGCAGGATTAAAAAAAGACTCCCCTGCAGGGCTCTAATAGGAGCATTTTTCAAAATGGAATTTGTGCCAGTTAACCTACACACACCATTAATGCTAAGGTGATGTGTGTGTGTGACGTTCCTCCATAATCCACTTTAAATTTTTTCCTAATTAAGTTTGGCTACCAGAGGAGACAGTGAGCAATCAACCTGTTGCTTGACTATTGAAAAGAAGGATGGTCTTGCGGTTAAGGCTCTGGACTAAGACTCAGATCTGGGTTTGATCTCCACTTGTGCCACACACTTCCTGTGTGATCCTCAGTAAATTACTTTAATCCCTATATGCCTCAGTCTCCAAATCTGTAAAACAGTGATAATACTCCCTTTGTCTTGTCTATTTCTACTGAGAGACCTTGGGGGCAGAGTGTGTGTTTCCACAGTGCTCAGCACAATGGGGCCTTAGTAACTAGTGATGCAGCAGGCAGTCAGAATTGAAGGAAAGAAATCTTTCTCACTGCTACATGCCTAGAGGTACAGCCTGGCCCCAGCTTGCATTCCTGAGCCTCTGGTGCCACCCCAAATGATGTCCCTTCTGAAATGTGACCCTCTTTCTCCGGTTCCACTCATACTCCAGGGCCCTGATCCCAGACTGGGGACTCTGGGCACTAATAGAATATGAGTAATTATTATCTAAAAGTCAACTTAAATAATTCAACCATTTGAGAAATGCTGGCTTGCCCCTGCCCTCTGGCTCCTGACTATCCATAGCCCCTAACTCTGGGGCCATTCCCATCACCACATCTAACACACAGGGGAGATCTCCTGACAAAGCATGCTGAGGCCTGCAGCAGTGACAGCTCTCAGTCATCTTGGAGAACTCTTTCAACTCTGCACCGAGGTGCTGAAAATAAGATTGAGATGGGGAGCCTGGGAGGACAGTGGAGCTGTTAAGGAGCGGAGAGAGGGTCTGGGAGGGAAAAAGTCCTTTTACTGCCTCTGATACTTGCAGGCAATAAAGTGTAATTTAGACTGGAAATTAAACTTGCTTAAAAACACAAAGCAAGTGAACATCCCTTCTCCGAGTCCATTTTTATTCACCTTTTAATTTAAAGGTACATTTGCAAATGGTTTATAAGGGGTTATTGAGAGCTACATATGTTAATAAATGGGAAATCATAGAATGTTAGAGTCCAGCACTGTTACAGATGGTTATAAGCACCTCAGCGGAAGGTATTAGAGAAATTATTACATCACTGCTGATGCGCTTATAACCATCAATAACAAATGCTATCCATGTCTGTAACATGCTTATAACAGCCTAACCATTTGTAAACGTACCTTCGCTATACAGCGTGACCCATTTTTCATTAGATGTAACTGAGAAAACCATTGTGTCTACCTTGTCTGACAGCTTCATCAGGCCCCCTCTCAGCGAGTGTCACTTCTGGGGATATCGCAGAGGAAGCTGTGCTCGCTTCTCCTATCTTAAAGCTCGTCTCTGCAGATCACACGATATACATGTTAACTCACATTAGAAAGAGTCGCACAAAGGCAAGAGGGTGCTCTCCTCGTTCCACTATCAATAGCGTCTCCACAAGCATAGGCGCTGAGCCAGCAATGTGACTGAAATCCTTTAAAACGTGTGCCCTTCGTGGGTGGACAAACCGTTTTGTTCCACACGGAATAGGCTGGGTGAGACCTGCCTTGGTCGATAACCTCTTCTGATCTGTGCTCTGCACAGTGACAGGCTGCTGTGAGTAAAGCCAGTGTTATTCTAGGAGGTCCATATGTGGATAATACATAAATCTAGGGAGGTAATAGTGCCACTCCACATGGCCTGGGGAAATACTGGGCCTGGGTAGCTGTGAACAGGAATAGGGATGTGGTTTAAGTTGAAACAGAAAATGAATTTCATTTGTTGTACACTCACCTTGTTCTGTTGTCGTGGTGGGATCGTTTTCAGTGGGTATCACGTCTGGCCCTGTTGAGTTAATACCTGCTGTGGCTGTGGTTGGCTCTTCCGTTGGGAAAGCATCCTCTGTAACTCTTGAAGGTACGCTTACAATTAAATCACCTCCCTGCCCCCTCTGAACTGATGGGGAGAAAAGGAAAAGCAAGAAGGAGAACTAGCAGGATAATCACCAACAACATGCCCATTTAAATGGGAAGTAAATTGATCTCCTAGATAGCAGGAGAGAGTAATAATCCCAGACAGAACTGGCTTAAACTGCCAGCCATGGAAAGAAACCCCAAATTCCCACTCTTGTTAATTTCTTCACATTTCTTATGTATCTTAGAGTCATGCTGGTTAAAGATGGTGGTAAGTGTTTTTTTACAGGTTAAAAAGAATGCATGTCACACTTGGAAGGTGAAGGATTATCCCAGGTAGCTAAATGACATAACCAGGTGATTGGGCAACCAGAAAAGGTGCAGGTCAGTGTTTGTTTCCAGAGTTCATCACTCCTCTGTTCTTGGTCCATCACCTCATCAAAGTAGCCCAGTGATGCTGAACTGAATAGCAGCATGAGAGGTGGTGACACGTTCTTCTAGCTCAGGTTTGGCGGGTGAGTCAGGAGAACATGAAGAGACTGTGAAAGGTAGAATGCAGAGTAGTGGCTCCATTCACTTATTTTTTCTTGTAGTTCCCCTGCATACACGCTATTGTTGTTTATGGAGCTCAGCGAGTTTTGCTGGAGACTGATAGCCTTGGCATGAGGCTGGGAGATTTCCGTGAGAAGGAAAGCACACAGAAGGGCATGTGAAGAAAGGAACTGACAATAAAGTATTTACCAATTGCTTAGTGGGGTTCAAATGGGTTGGCCTTAGAGCTCTGTGAAGAACTAATTTTTTGGTTCAGTGGCTGAACCTTAACATTTTTTTAAAAGCTTTGGGTCAACACTAAATGAACATTTTTTGGCAGAACAAAAAATAAAAAAAAATGTTGTTTCGGGTCAAACTAAATTTTATTCAACCCAAAACAAAACATTTTGTTTCATTTTCAAGGGCTGGTGGTTTTTTTACCTTTTCAATAAAACAAGAAAAATTCAAAACAAAAAGTCATTTCAAATCAAAACATTGACATGTTTAATTTTTAAAATGCCAAAATTAAACATTTTTATTTTTTTCAGAATTTCTTTTCCTGAACCAATCTGGTTTATTGCATGTGAATTTGTGCAGTTTTGGTCAACCCAAGAATGCATTTTTTTCAGGGGGAAACCAAGTTTAATCCAAGAAGCTTTGCTCAGTGCTAGTGGGGCTGCTGGTTGCTTTAGCTGGTTGTGACGCAGTGAAATGTGAGCAATGCTCAATAGTCATAGACAGTATAACCAGAATTAGGATGCTTTACTTTGAAGGCATCTCACCATGAACAGCGACAACACTTCACATTCCAGACAACAGCGATCACTATGTGCGATGCCCAGAAATTTTCGGATGTGTGTGTTGGACCTTTAACGTTTCTGTGTTTAAGCAAACTTAGAGCTGGTGAAAGGTGCTGCATTGAGGTCCATCAAGACTGAAGTAATATGTCTATACACAGACCAGACAACATTGGCTGCCCTTCACTGCTTTGCCAATCTGCCTCACACCTGACCTTCAGGAACCAAATTGCCAGGGGTGAGAAGGTAGTTCAGTCTCCATACTCATTCTGTCCTTTGTCTTCCAATGGGTCACTAACTACTGTCTCCTGAAGTGGTGGAGTTAGTTTGTACAACCCACGTTTATTGGGAAATGGTTTGAAAGCATTAATATTATTGTTTATTATACAATACCCAAAAGTGTGCTAGACCCCTCTCAGTACAGAGAAATAGCATTATCATTAATAGTAGTATTATCCCCATTGCACAGATGGAGGAACTGAGGCCAAGAGGTAAAATGACTTGTTGACAGCTTTGGAGTACACCACTCTGAGGCAGGATTAGAACTCAGAAGGTGCTTGTTAACTGTAGCAATCGCCCAAGAACTTGGTGGATAACTCCTCTTTGATGCAGACACACATCCTTCTGGTATGTGTTTGTACTGGGCTTAGGACAATGGGCCCTGATCCCTGACTGGAAGCCCTGGGCACTATTGCAGTACAAATAATTCTAATACCTGAGTCAGAGATAGCACAGATGAAAAATTGCTGCTTCCCCCCCGTGGTCCCCTCCCATATTCAGTGTCACCTGAAATTTCCCTGGTCCAGTTTAGTTCATCTGAATTAGCCTCATAAAGGTCAACTGAAAATAAAAGGGTGCTGTAGGATATTAAACCAGGGGTCGTGGTGCTGTCTCCTTACTTTCAGTTGCAACTGCTGGTGTGGCTGTGATCTTCACTGTAGTAACTGCAAAATATTAAGCAGCTTTTAGGTCATGAAAGAATTCTATGCAATGCTATGCAGGAGGTGAGAAAAGAGCATTATAATGGTCCCCTCTGGCTGTAATATCTGTGAATGTACTTTAAAGGATCATTGTATTAGAAAACCTGATGTTAATGGAGGGTTAGATTTTTCAAAGGCACAAAGTACATTGAAGTCAGGGCGCACAGGGCAATTAACTCCCGGTTGGGCCTTTGAAATTGCAGCTAGAAATAATTTATGAAATTTAAACAATGTTCACTGAAAATGGTTCTTTGCCTTGATTGAAAGATTGTCGAGCAGAGGCTGCAATCTTGACATTGCACTATGCTGCTAGACAGTGCCAGAAAGTGGTAATGCCGAGTCTAGCTTCATTGCTCAAATTCAGTGAAAGGCAAAAACTAAACAGCATAAAAATGGTGAAATGTCCAATTCAATTTTAACACTTGTAGTTTAAATGAAAATTTTAACTTGGCTATCTCTTTAAAAAACACGTTTTCTCCCGGGAAAGATGATTTAAAAAAAAAATTCAAAACAGGTGAGCCATAATATTACTATAGTAATCACTTCAAATGCCATTGTGTTACCAAGTGCCATGCTATTGTCACACATCTGCAGGTTTATTCTCACCCATGTCCGCACTGTGACACCATATAGTCAAGCTCTAAGATTCCCTTACCTGTTAGTGTGGGATCCATGAAGGAAGCAGACATGCCTTCATGATCTCTTGCGATAACTAGACCGGAAAGCAGAAGCATTAGGGTAGTGAACCAAACAAACCGTACTTGTTTAGTGGCTTTGATCTGAGATTCTCAAAAAACAACCAACCGTCGGCATTACCTCGTTGTCCAGATGAGGAACTGAGGCACAGAGATGCTAAGGCAATGGTCCTCAAAGGGATTTAGTCATTTGCTCTGCTCAGGGCTGTGATGCCTAAACCCCAGGTGACCTGCCTGCTAATGAAGTCTTCAGCCCCGAGTTAGGTGCCCAGGCTCCCCATACAATGCATGGGCAAGTTATGGCCTAAGAGAAGGAGTCTCAGGAGTCAGTAACCTGAGCAGGGAGCTATCTAAGGTAGCCAGGATGAAATGCCCGGGAGAGGGGTTTAGGCACCTATGCAGCTGAGCTGGTGCACCCGGCGGATGGGTCAAAGATAGGATCTTCCCTCCACTCAGGATCCTCGGCCTAAACCCTTCCCTGGAGTGAGGCACCTAAGCCAAGTCTTAGGCATGCTCAGAGCTTGGCTACAAGATCAGGCCATGCTGGTAACACAGCGACTTGTCTGAGAATCCCACTTCAGGTTTGGCTGGAGCTAGAGCTCTGAACTGCTCGTTAGCTGCGGGGCAGGGGCAGTGAGTCGGCAGCTTTGCAAAGATCAGCTGACTACTGCTAACGCCGCCGTATGACCACATGGAGCTTACAGCGACTGATTTGCCAGTAAAATACAACCACCACTAAAACCTCCTGGCCTCCTGCTTTGGGAGTCCTCGGGACCTAGTCACTGGGCTCAGCAGAAATAGCTACTGAAGACCGAAAATGTGAGTCGTTTGTCAGAAAACAAACTGTAAGGAAGTACAGACCTTGGTGAAATGCAAAGATGGTGAACGCAGCCTTTGCACAAGGCCTTGTGATAGGGTGGGAAAAGTGAAAATGTCACCACTGGAGGTTTGTACTCTCTCTTCTATTTGCAGTAGAAGAAAATGTGTTTTGTGGATAAAATGATAAATGGTTTTGATCCCATTATAAAATACACCTGTCACTAGCTGCTTGCAATGCTTTTTACATTACTAATAAGCCCCACAAACACTACTCTAAAGTGGAAGTATAATAGCACACCCATTTTACAGATGAGTAAACCTAAGATGTTAAGGCCCAAAATTTCAATAGTGTCCCTGTGGAAGTTTTAAGATGTGCACCATAATTAGTGGACAGATGGGTTGGATTCTTAAGTGTTTGTCTATGGTTGACCAGAAAGTCATTTACAGAGCTGGAAATGAAACCCAATTCTCCTCTCCTAACCATTAGGCAGCACTACCTTTGCATGCTAAATGCATCCTGAGAAGTGCTTTTTTCGCCTGCTTTTTAATCATTTAGAAATGCAGATCATAAATGACCCTAAAAATGGTGTCTGCATATTTATACCATAGTCGATAGCGTTCGCTTCTGGGATGTTTTGATGTAAGAAAGCATAGATGCCCCCTAATGACAAGGACTCAGCACTGGCTTAACTCTGCTCCAACAAGGTCAATGGGAAAACTCCAGTAGATATCAATGGGAGTAGAGGTGGTCCAATGCTCAGTGCTTTTCAGAATCCCACCCTCCTTTTACTAGATACATTTACTAGCTATGTTACAAGCACTGTTTCCAACTTTGTGAATTTCCTAATATTTGCTGCAGCTATTTTTAGTCTCGTGCTTATCTGCTAATTACATATGCCTCATTATCGTTACGTTTTTTTGAAAAGGATCATTACAGATGTGCAAATACAGAAACTGCCACTCACATTCTGCTTTGGGCGTTCTCCCCCGGGCACTGCTGAGCTCTCTGGGAGTAACTGTAAATACACAAACCGAGACTGGAGTTGTTGTGCGATCAGAAAAGCACGCTGCAAACGATAAAGTAAGAGATGTGGCATACGACAAAGGGTAGGACAGCTATGAAGTAACACTATCACTTACACTCAGAAGTGGGGGGTTTCAAGCTGGTATTGCTGGCTGCAGGTGGAATTCCTTTAAAAACAAAAACCACACGGTATTGTCTTAACGTTCACAGGCGACCTTGGGATTTTCTACTCTTCCAGACTCATGCTTGGTGTGTTGGCTCAGAACAACCCCACTGTTCAGGGACCTAGATTCAGAAAAGGCACCTGGGCTCTGCCAAGCGGCGATCAGGCATGCTGGTGACAGTGTATTTGGCCTGGGAGTGCAGAAGCTGTCTAGCCTGTCTGCTTGGCCCAGCTCCCCTTCTTGCTAATACCTGAAGCAATAACAGACAATGCATTCTCATGTCCCTCCTAAGAAATCCCATGGCTGGCCTGCTATGGGGAAAATCCTTCGAAGCAGCAGCCTCCCCTCTTCCCCACAAGTGACGTGTTTGGCTTTGGAGAAATACATTAATCTGGCTTCTCTTCTGTGTTTCTCTAAGGTGAGCGTTAGATTTCCCCCGCAACAGCCCAGCATATGTTCTCTGCCTGAAGGGCAGAGGTAAAACCCTGCACCCGACACCACAGATTTACAATGTGCTTTACGTAGATCGGACCCATTCCCTTGAAAGGTCTGTTCAAGGAGCAGCTCTGCTGGCTCAGTCTACAGTTGGAGTCCTCTTACAGTGAAATCTTTTTTGTCCCCTCCCCCATCCCGATGCAATAGGGTGACCAGACAGCAAGTGTGAAAAATCGGGATGGGGGTGGGGCTAATAGGAGCCTATATAAGAAAATAATATAATTAATGGAGATATCCCATCTCCTAGAACTGGAAGGGACCTTGAAAGGTCATTGAGTCCAGTCCCCTGCCTTCACTAGCAGGACCAAGTACTGATTTTGCCCCAGATCCCTAAGTGGCCCCCTCAAGGATTGAACTCACAACCCTGGGTTTAGCAGGCCAATGCTCAAACCACTGAGCTATCCCTCCCCCCTAAAAAAACCCCAAAAAATCGGGACTGTTCCTATAAAACTGGCACATCTAGTCACCCTAAAATGCAATGACTTCACCATGAGTCAAAGTCTGAAGTCCTTATTAAGGCAAGTCTCCCGTTGACGTCATTGACTAATTTCCTCAAGTAAAAGCTAAGCAGTGACTTCACGATTTGATCCTGGACGTCAGAATGACACGTGGCACATTCTAGTGCATTGAAAGGATTCTGGCTGGAGACTGTCATTGTGTGTTGTATTGTGTATAAATATTAAAGTGAGTCCTCCCAGCAGAGGGCACCTACAAATCCAAAACACTATACTCTGGGACTTAGTCTTGTATTGGCTCACAGGACCAATGGTAGGTTCTTTTATACTAGCCCTTTTGGTTAACTCAGAGCATATTTCAGTCTTTTCCCTGGATTATTTATTTCACTGGTTCTGAAATTTGTTGGAAATGTTTCTTCTGCAGAGTCAATGCACAAACCTTCTGTCATGGAAGTAGTTGTCAGCAGTGGTTTATCACCCCGGTGGTTAAGAAGCTCTGCAAAAATAAAGGAGGTCTCATTTCAAAGCAATGCACTAGCCATCAAAACACAATCAGTCCATGGGCAATTCAAGAGGCATCAACTGAGTGTAACATGACTACAGTCATTAGCAATACTGGTGCAAGTGGAACCTGATTTATTTCGGTTCATTATTGCTGTACTATTGGTTCAGTGGTGACACTACCCTGTAGTCAGTGCTGTACAACATGAACAAAGTCCAGGCCCTGCCCGACAGAGCTTTCAGTTGAAAACATTTACTGAAACGCCTTCATGATCATTATTCTTTAAGGCTCCAATTCAACAAGGTACTTAAGAACATCATTACCTTTAACACATGAGCATGCTTAAAATTAGGCACTTGCTTAAGTATCTTGCTGAATCAGGGCCTAAGATGTTATAGTTAGAAGAGTGTGCATGTAAAATGGCATGAATCCGATCCTTTTATCATTGCTATCTTTAACGTGTGGGAGGCAGCCTGTTTTAAAACAGTGGTGTTTGTATGTGTATATTAGATACACACACACACGCGTGGGAATTTGGATATTTGAACCAGTCTATATTTTTTTTAATAAATGTGTTCTTCCATAGTTGGACGCACAGAACTACCTCTTAAAATTATGAGCATTGTGGGTAACATTTTCAAAGCATCTCTCAAAGGGCATGTCTGCCTGTAGTGCCCCCTGCTGGCCAAGTATGGCTCATCATTAGCCTTCCTCAATTTCTCCTCCAGTGCTTCCCCGGAATAATCCCCAGAGATTTTATGTCTAATAACAAGCAACATTCTTGGGGACTGGTTTATTAATATGAAATACACCCAAAGTAGCTCTCTTCCACTCAAGACTCCTATGGGGCATAGCCCCTCTTCCTTGGTCTGTCTCCGCAAAGTTATCAGCCTTTCCTAAATTCTACTGAGTCAGTCCCGCCTCTTGAGTTCAGGGGTTCACTGGCCCTTACTTGGGCCTGTGTGCATTGGGCTGTCAGCTACATCCGTACTAAACCGTTTCAGCAGCTCTTCTCTCTCCGCTGCCGTTTACCCCTTTATAAGGCCCAGGTGCTTTCTCTGAAGCCCATTTGGCAGCAGACAACTAGTCACATGGGCACTGGACCCCACTCCTTCTTAAAGGAGCCAGTCACCCTATGACAGTGACTCAATGATTTAGAAGTCTAAATCCCATTAACAAAAGTGACTTAGGAACCTGCCTGAGTCACCTTTTGAAAATCGGGCTTAGGCTCCTTAAGCACATTTGACAACTTTCCCCGTTGTATTTTAGCATCTTGCTACAGAGGTGTTGCACTTTGCTTTTCTGTAAAGAATCCCTCTGCTAAAGTGTGCACTAGCTTTTTTGTGATCGATAAGCTGATATAAATTGAATACGTTAAAGGCAAAGGATTCTAGAGCTCAGGACATACCCTCCATATGAAGTGTTGTCAATCCTTTCTTGCTAGTTGTTTCTGAGAAGAAGAGAGATCATAGCTGATATACTGTTAGGAAGCATTTTTTTCAAAGTCTGAAACACACAGTGAAGCTATACAGGAAGGTAACCAAATGAGTTACTATGATGGGACCACTGGCATGCAAGGAGTTAATAGGGCCCTAGGGAGGCTGAGCAGAAAGCAGCCAATAGGAGAGGAGCTGCGAGAAACAGCCAATCAGGGCTCAGCAGGCCCATATAAGAAGAGCCGCAGGGCAGAGCAGGGGCAGTTATACCCTGGAGCTAAAGGAGAGAGAACTGGGTGCCTAGTAGACAGACAGAAGCTAGCTCCCTGGACAGAGCAGTGTTGCTAGCAGAGATGGGGGAGCTAGAGAAGAGCTCCTGGCTGGCTGCTGGGATTTGCATGCTGAGGCCCTGAGGCAAGGGCAAAGAGGGTGCTGGGGCCACTGTGGAAGTGGCCAGACAATTGGCTGCAGTCATCACTGGAGAAGTGGTGGGACAGTTGGACTGCAGCACTTGCCCCCGGAAAGGGGGAGCACAGATCTTGACATGACCGGAGGCTGTGTCATGAGGAGAACACTGCCTTCCTTGGAGTGACATGTGTCCGGGAGCAGAAGTCCCGGCGGCTGAGGCCCCACTAGGAGTGGGTGTACCGACTTGCGGAGCTAATTCCTAAGACGACCAGTAGGAGGCACCAGGGTGGTGAGTGGAACCTCATCATGGTGACCATCAAATGAAAAGATTTCTTGATTTATGCGGGCTCTGTTCCACCAAGATATATAACTGGGAACCTTTGAATCCCAAACTAGTCGGGGGGATCACTGACCTCCGAGAGAATCTACCTTTAACCTCAGTACTAAGCAGAACGGTCAGTGGGACAATAATGCCCTTTCAGTGCAGTTGTAAAACAAAACCTTTTGAACGGGTTTGTGAAATGGAATTGTGTTGAAACAACGATTTTTATATTCAAACCCTGAGCTTTTTGCTTTGGGTCTCTCTCAATAGAGGTGAACTTCCCTCTTCCATGCTCACATCTTGGCTCTTGGGCCTGTCACTTACCCTCCATTTCCCTGTCTATAGAGTAGGGATGGCACTTGCCAGCTTTGCAGGGCTCTAGGAGGAGTAACTCTACCAAGAATGTTAAGTAGTTTCTATTGGTAAAGTACTTGGCAGATTGCAAAAAGAAGGCTGTGGAAATGAGCTAAGTATAGCAACCTTTAGGCACTCTAATGTTTCCGGTGCTTCCCCGAGACTCCTGCAAGCAAACACACAGGCTGCTAAGCACTTTTGGAAACATGGCCACTGAGCTAGGCTGAGAAGCTGCCCCCGTTAGTTCAAACCCAGCCCAAGGCTAGAGTGTCCAAAAGTCGTCGCCATCTCATAATCTGTCCGATGACCTATTTGAAACGAGTTTGGGGGAATCTCACTAAACAAGTGTCCATAGCAATAAAATTATAGCCCAGCTCAGCAGCCCTTTGGGCAGCCTTAGAGGTCAATGAATGGAAATGGAGATGAATACCCCTCTCATACTGACCTTACCCTACACTCTGCCATGCCAGGGAGGGGTCCCATAAGCTTAGCAGACCGGGGAAGCTTGTATCCCTTCTCACCCATGAATTACCTTTACTGTGAGCAAAGAGAGGACTTCAGCCTTCAGGGCTGTCAGTCCGGCCCCATTCACACACAAACTTGCTCTGTAGATCTGGCCATCTAGTCAAATCACCTGAATTAATCCCCACCCTCCTACCACTAGGATTCACTGAGTCATGGTAAATGGAAAAGATTCATGAAACAGAGAACAGGACAGACATTGATGCCATCTGCAGCGTAAGAAACCGAGACACCAGCGGCAGCACTATTCTCCTTGGATCCAATTTGGTGCCCTTTCTGCCGATGGAAAGATTCCCATTGACTTGAATGGTCAGTAGATCAGGCCCTTTATTATTACCTGTAACCTGACCCGGACAGAAGGAGACATCCAGGCCGTTCAAGGAAGAGTTAATGTGTGAATGGACAAAACACTCAATAGCCGCTTTGTCACAATTGCAGAGAAGCCGTTCACAAGGATCCCCAGACTCTGGAGTAAAAACAAAAATCCAGACAAGGTACCATTGAAATATCTGTTTCCACCATCTGCCTTTGCCTCTCTGGCTTTCCATCGACAGCTCCATTTCATTTTGTAGAACATAAACCTATACTGTGTTTCTGCAAGTGCCAAGGATAAATAAACTCCAGCTTTACAAAACAATAAGATTGAATTATCCTAGGGAAATTCATGGTGACATTTAAAGTAAATGTTGTTTTTCCATTCTACCACTGGCTATTGCTGGCTAGGGATAGTACTTGGTGCAGCTCTCATTGTATTTACTGTAGGGGATATTACAGAACATGCTTTGCATTACAGTACAGTTTGCCAAACAATTTCCATCACAACCTTCTGTTTTCCCACACTGAGAACTCTGTGACAAATTCGCCTTTGAGAAGAATATTTATTTCCAGGCTGACACCCTAAGCAAGGGCAATACTTTTTTTCCAGTTTGAACAAAAATACCTTTGCCATTTTCCAGTAAAGGGGGACAGAGAAAAACACTTTCCCCATTGTGACGTGCTTTTTTGAAGACCGAGCTAAAGCAAAAATGGCTTTGGTGTGAGACTAGAAAGGATTGTGGGATCAGATTGTTAGTTAAACCAGGCTTAACCCAGAGTGGTGCTATCAATGCGTTAGCTACTCTACATTTACACAGCGATCAAAATCTGGCCCCTGGGCTTTACAGAGGACTAGTGCTTGATGGGAAATTGTTTTAAATAGAAACCATATAGAGGAGTGAAAAATCACTTCTGCACATCAGGGTAACATCTGCTCAGATTTTACCAGAGCTGAATGGAGCTCCCTCCCCTTACAAAGTCATTTCAGTGCCCCTTTTCTCCACAGTTGCCAACTTTCACGTGGTAAATAAGCACCCCGACTTTCCCAATAAGCCAAAAGTCAAGCGAATCCCATTTCAAAACAAGGCCATAACAAGCCAATCCGTAAGAACCCCAACACTCTATGTGACTGGATCCCCCAGTGTGCAGTCTGGGACTGTGGTGAGCCCGCTGTGCACCCCTGACTCTCTCACACACACACCCCCTTGCCCCTGCTTGTCAGGAGCCAATCGAAAAAAAAGCAACTAGCTACAACAAGCAACAAGCTACAAGCCAATTAAGCCAAAAACAAGCCCAATTTCTGCGTTTTTTTTTCACGGGTTTGGCATCTCTGCTTTTCTCTATGCTGATTGACAGGCCCGGAGGGTGTGGCTTATTTGTGTGTTTTGTAAAATTGTTCCATGGTTGCTAATACTGGAGCAGCTCCAATATAATCAGTGCTAGGAGTCCTGGTTCACCCTGGGCTCATCAGCACTTTTAACGTCTTGCTGATCAGACCGCCTCTCAGCTGGTGTATTCTATTTCTGGTGGAAACAAAAGCTGCCTGTTGGTTGTTTGGCATGAGATGGGGCTGTGGCTTGGGTGGTGGAAGGGAATTGTTTGTGGTTAAGCAAAGGGGATGATGAGCAGAGGGTAGCTAGGAGGCTGAATGACTTAATTCCTTATTTCCTTGCTGGGTCCAGTTTGTGTGGGGAACTGTGCAGCACTCCCGTTAAGTGAAATAAAACTCCTCATGAGCGAGTGGAGCTGACACCAAGGACCGCACGCAATGCCCTGTCCCTTCTGACCCGTCAGTGTCTTTGTCTAAATAACCACTTTAAAGTGACCTCCAAGGCTTCCCGTTCAGTCCTGCCTGATCTTTAGCTGGAAACCAGCTCTAGAAGGTGCCTGACTTTTGCTACTGCTTTGGATAATAATTTAATATGGCTTTCACAATGGCTATCTTCCACTTGATGCTATTGGCCAGACTACCAAGTATTTTTCAAACACGTATGAAGACAACCAATGCAATACACTGGCACTGTTATGAAATGCTAATATTTATCGCCGTGCCTTATCATGGACGTGATAAGCTCCTCATCACGCCAAGTGACGCTTCAGCTCAACCACAAGTTATTGGTCTCGATGCAGGAGTCATTGGGAGGACTTTTATGGCCTGTGCTAGGCAGAAGGTTGGGCTAGATGATCACAATGGTCCCTTCTGGCCATAAAATAAATTTGCTCTCTTAGGTACTTGGCAGGACCCCCATAGTACCTATGTTGCCATAGTAACTGAGCGCCTCAGTCTTAGCTGAGGGAAAGACAAACAGGGCTTTAAAAACATGTCATTCCACATTCTTGGGCAGTCAGCTACATGTGTGAGCCGCACAGATGCACCAAACGATGCTAAATGGCCTCCAAAGAGAGCGATCCTGCCGTCGGGGATGCCCAGCACCGGGTTTCCTGTAGCAGTTCCTGGATTTTTGTTTTTACATCCAATTGAATATTGATACCTCTGACTACCATCAGTACGTGACGAGAACAGCCATTCTCTCAGGAATCCAGAGAGCCGTAACACAGGGCTTGAAGGGACCTTGAGAAGCCATCTAGGCCATACCTCCACATCGAAGCAGGATTAAATATACCTAGACCTACAAGACAGTCATGGGTGATTTCTGCTTGTTCTATACATGGCTCTCAGTAAATTAATGGGAATTATTATTATTTATTATTTATATCATTGCAGCCCCGTCATGGCCCAGGACCCCATTGTGCTAGGCGCTGTACAAATGCAAAAGCAACTCCCCTTTTCCCCGATCAGTACAAAGCCCTGGTAACAGGCAGCAGTCCCCTTTGAACCTTACCACAGGAAATGTTTTTCGTAAGACAGCTGATGTCCATAGATATCTTGGCAGGGTCCCATGAGCACTCCAGCTCCACGGCTTCTTCATAGCATTTGCGGTGCTGGAAACAGCAGCTTAGAAACGAAACAAAGAAACAAAAAAGACAACGAGAAGAATGCCGGGGACGCACACCTTCATTTTCACTTCACTGCCTGCCTCCCCTTTGGGGTGGTGATGCACTGGGCAGCAGGCGAGCGTACAGGATGCTGTGGGAGAAAAGGGGGTGTCCCTTTTTTTCTGACTAGTTTGTCAGTAAGGAGCATTCATTCCTCTGACCCCTAGAGGACGGGCGTGTGGTCCTTTTTCCCCTCATGGCTGACTAGGCCTAATAGACTGAGCACAGCGAGAATCTGTCTGCTTCTCCCCACTTTGTTGCAGCCCCCCTTGCACTGTGTCGGTGCAAAGGAGCCCTAAGGCACAGAGAGTCTCCCTGCCAAGCACAGAGCTGCCTCTGCTAGTTCCCCTTTCCAGAGTCCCTGGCCCAGAGGGGCCAACAGGAGACATTTCTATGCCCCAGCTATTGCTTGCCTGCGGCAAAAGCCATGGCAGACAGAGTTCAAGTTAGGACAGCCCAGTGCTGGGGGCAGCCCCAGCCCCTGGCAGCCCCCCAGATCACTCAGGAAGGTGCAAGCTTCTTTCCCACTGTCCTGGGGCAAGACACCGGACTTGGAGTTGCTGTGTTTGAACACGGCACTTCATGGGACTAGGGAATTCATTTAACCTCTCTGCATGTTGGGTCCTTTGCCTCCTCATAACAGATAATCAGACATATCTTTCTGCCACAGGTATTCGGAGGGATTATTAAGGCTGTGACATGAGCACCATATCTTCCTCCACGTGTATAGAATAGGCTGGTGTTTGTCTTCGACCACGGATGGTTGTATCCTGTGAGCAGTTTGTTTCATTCTACCACACTCCAAGTGTGTTCCGTTGCCCCTGTGCTGCCTGGGAAGGCAAAGACAATCTCCATCTTCTGACGTTGTCATGGCTCTCACCAGCGAGGCAAGCAGGAGGGCTCCTAATATGGGCTGTGCCTAGGATGTTGTTGTCTTGGTATAAAAGATTTGTCTGATAAATTCATGGATTTTAAGTCCATTAATGGCTATTAGCCAGGATGGGTAAGGAATGGTGTCCCTGCCCTCTGTTTGTCAGAGGGTGGAGATGGATGGCAGGAGAGAGATCACTTGATCATTACCTGTTAGGTTCATTCCCTCTGGGGCACCTGGCATTGGCCACTGTCAGTAGACGGGGTACTGGGCTGGATGGACCTTTGGTCTGACCCAGTATGGCCATTCTTATGTTCTTATGTCTGAGGCTATGAGAATCCCAGGGGTTGCTTCTGAACAGGGATCCCCTAGGAGGCCTTGGATTGTGTCCACACTGGGTGGACTCAAACTGTTTGATCCCATGTACGTTCTCTACAGAACAGGAGCAAGTGACAGCCACCCTTTGTATTAGAGTGTAACTGTCTTTAAAATACGAGCAAGCACTAAAAAGGGGCAGAGGACAAAAGGAAGCATCCGTTCTAACAAATGGTAAGTGTTTGACCTGTCTATTGTTTCCACTCACTGGTATCCATCTGCTATCTCTGCTGGAACCTTTCCATGGTGTGACTGTACTTGAGCATCACAGTTGTGCCGGGGGGATATTAAACGAAGATGGGAATGACAACATTCCATAGAAAAGCCTTGACATAGTCGTCAGCTTGACAATCAAAATTATATCCAGTTTCCAAGATCCGGCTACAGCCTGTGATCGCCAAGATGAACTGCCGGTTACAGTAACAGGTCGAGGAAATCCTCCCCGGAGCTTCTTGGCAATGTTTGGGACGCATACAGACAATGCTGAGTGCTGTAAATTCAAACCATGTACAAAACCTAGAGCCCCGTCCTGCAGACCGACAGCATCAAAGGCGCAGGTTGCAGAATGAAAGAGCAATGGGGTAAAAGTAGAGTGCAGTGTGGTCTTTATAGGTGGAATCCTTCATGGGATATAAGGAAACATCCTATATATTTGGTCCTTTATTTCACTCTCGCTGGTGGGATTATTTGAACATGTAACAGTTAAGGGGTTTGCCGCTTAGCATCAGAGAAGGGAAAGCTAGTGGAGGGTGATTTGGTTTTGTGGTTAAGACATAGGACTAAGATCTTGATCCAGCAAAGCACTTAATTTAATGTAAGCAGAGTCAGGATGAGCTCTACCCTGACATCTGGTGGTGAATTATTAGGAGTGAGGAAAAGATCTCCAGGGGCTGTACTTCTTCGCATAGGCACACCCACTCCCCT